TTTTTCTTGATTGTTTCTTTGGATATTCATTTTGGTCAAGATGATGACTGAACCCTAGGATTAGTTTTTCAATGTTTTAAGGCTTCCATGATACTTAAAATAAGAAATGGTGTAAGGTAAACCAAAAGGAACAAGTGTTGGAAGCATTAAAACAAAGTTGTAATTTTTGGTTCAAGTACCCCTAGTGGCTCGGTCAAGGATAGCTGAAAGGAGGAGTTTTATTTTCATAGATCTAAGCATATATTTGGAATCTACATGAAATACCATGTAGGAATAAGTCAAGAAGCAATTTTTAGAGTTGAAAGGAAACAAGTTCAAAAATAGTGAACAAAGGTGGAAGCTTTAAGGAGCAAGAGTCATTTTTTATTTGAGTTCTTACTTTTCCTTCATTGGTTAATGATTCTTGCTGCCCTTTTTGATGGATTACATTGCTAGGGTTTGATATTTGTGAAGGGAAAGAAGAGAAAGAAAGAAAGCTCAAACTTTTGGAGCAAGGTAGCAAGTTGAACCTAACTACTAACATTGACTTGGCATTATTGATTATTGCATGATTAATTGCTATTATGTGGATGAACTTTCTTGATTGTGATGTGGCTGCTCTTTGTACTTTCTTGCTTTGGTCTTTGCATGATTGAGTTTGCCAACTAATAAGCATGCTAGTTCACCAATAGTAGTTAATATAATTATGCTTGTTGATGATGCTTGTTGATGAAATAGTTGGTTAATTTGCTATTGGGATTTCAAAGAAATCTCATTCCCCAAATACAATCTAACATTTTAGGGCCTGAATCCTCTAAGGGAAAGCTGCAGATTGAAGGTTAAATTTATGGTAAAAATTTGTGGATCTTTTTGGCTATGTATATATTATACTAACAGTGCTGTAAACACACTGACACTGCCACATTCATGTGACTTTTTTGATTAAGCTCCTGAATGCGTTAAATCACGAAATTTGGTATGATTATAGATAATATCTTGAGCTTCACTTTGATATCTAACACGTTAAAAATGGCCAAGTATAGGATTTTTAATGATTTTTCAAAGTTAAAGGTTAAAATATGGGAAAAAGGGTTTTTGACAAATGGACAGTGTTACCTTTCACAAAAATCTGATGCTTTTTCCTAAGGAATTGGATCACAAGATTATTTTTCCCTGAAATATAACTTAAAGATCTTTAAATAGAATTTTGAACCACCTCATTTCGATTTTTGTGGAATAAGTTATGAATTTTTGAAGTTGGACCAGAAAACTGGATTTTTACCAGATGAATAGTAAAAATCCAAAATTTAGTGTTTTTCAAATAAAAAGTGAGTCCAAGACCATCCAATATAGTCTAAAATGGTTTTAGATTGAACCTAAGTTGATAAAATAGTAAGATGTGATAGTTTCCAGCTTCATCTTTAAGCAAGATTTAAATGAAACTCCTTTGAAGACAATTGAAATTATGCTCCACCGTGACAATGCTATAAAAACATATATTGAAGTAGGCCTCTTTCATTCCAAGGTCAACAAAAACTAAATAACTTCTTTAAAATTTCCTACAAGAACATTGCCAATTGCTCTTTCTCATTTTCACACAGTAAATGAAAAAAAAAAAACAAAGGAATGAATGACCAAACCTTCAAATCACTTAGCACACATCAACACAACCTGAAAAGAAGAAAGCTTCAACCATACCACATCAGCGTCCTTAGACAAGCAAGGATGAAGGCTGACGTTTTTAGCATAGAACAGAGGAAGAAGGGAGACAAAAATTGAAGCAGTCATTAAGAGAGAAACTTCCAAAATCTGAGCAAGGCAGTAACAGAGGAGAAGGAAAAAAAAATCAATGCTGAACAGGGGAGAGAAACTAGTAAAACAGAACCTTGAACGACAAAGCAGATGGCAACTGTGAATGCCGGTGACGACGAGGACAAACGAAGGTGAAGAACTGGAACTGAATGACAGCTGGAGTCCCTCATTTAAGAGTCTCGAAACTTCCCTCTTCTCTGCTACCCCCTCTCGCTCCCCCTCTTCTTATTATATTTCTTTTTCATAAGGGTATTTAATGAATTTAGAGAGTGCAAGAAGTTAAAGAAATAAAACTCTCCTGATGCTAAAACTGTGTTCGAAACCAGGTACCCCATGGTACCCAAAAAAGAAGCCCTCAATGCCACCCATTCACTAACTTCTCTTGTTTACAAAATTACCATTAATAGTAAGAGATATTAACTAACTCAACTATTATTTTTTTCTCGGTTCATTTTTTTTCACCACTGTTTTTTTTTGTTTTTTTACGGCCATTAAATTCTCCCCCTTTAAGAAATTCGGTCCCCCGAATTTAAATTTGTAGTTACCTTAACTTTAAAATAACTGTGGATAATTAGCACAGATCCTGCTTTAAACTTCCCATGTTCCATAGAGGTTATTTGAAATTCAATCAATTGCACATGTTTCAAGTCTAATATTCACTATGAGTACAAAAGATGCAAGCGGTTTTTGTAAGTGTAATTCAGAATTCAAGTTTAGCAACTACAGACACTAGCCAATTCTAATTGAGTTGTGTCCAACATCCCATGGTGTAGACTAAAATCCAACACAAATGAAGCTGTGCAGTAAAGTGAAGCACCTAGAGTTTCAACAAAATCAAGCAAAACACTAATTTTGAAATCAATTGGATGACCAAAATTTACTAGAATGCATGACCAAAATTTACTAGAATGCACACACACTTTCATATTAGGGTTCTGTTTACTTTTTTTCCCCTAATTTTTTAATTCAAAATCCCGCAATTTAATTCTTAAAGTTCTCTAATCTGGTGCCAAAATATAGCTAATTGCAAAATAACAAATCTTAAATCTTCCCTAACCTATTTTTAACATCTTCACAGACGTAATTGGCCCCAAACTTTTGAGAATCATAACCTGATCTAAGAACCTTCAAATGAAGCAAATTAGAACTTTCTAGAAAACATTGCTCAAAATTTTCAGAGTCATTGGAGTCCATCTAGTTTAGAAAAACAAGAAAATATCAAATCTGTACAGAAAATGCAATGCTGGATGTTATATGCTTTTCTTATTAAATTCAAGAATTCACGAAATATTCCCTAGTTCTCCCAAAATTTATCATCCTTGGTTGAATAAAACTGTCATATATCTTCTACATACATACTAAATTTTATTTTCAAGCTCAACCTTTAAGGCTTTCAAGTGTAGTTATACTTTTAGCTACTTATTTGGTTCCGTTCTGAAAAGCTCAAATGCGTCGACTTGCATTCCTTTGAAATTCTTCCTTCTGAATGTGTCTACCTATTTAGAAATGTTGTTCATTATTTAAGATTGGCCTTAGCACTCAAAATGATCCTTTGAATTGCCTTAATTAGGATCACTAAAACTCCTTTCCAAATATTTTCTAAAATCATCCATAACATAACTTAAAAGTATACTGACTATAGTCATCACACTTTTTCCAAATATCCTTCTCTCTTAATCAAAGCCAAATATCGTAACATGATAAAATGTGAGAAGGTAAAGCATGTCATAGATCATACAATCAAAATGCAACAGCATTGATATATGCAAGTTTGTCCCAAAATTGAAGTGCATTGAAAAATTTAAACTGGAAATATTGTGAAAATCTGCTTTCAATTTTTATATAGACCTTTATTTATTCAGAAGAAAAACATCGTTCATACTCATAAAATTAAAAGCATCAGAAGAAAAAAATAACTTTAGGGCTAGTAATAGGTAGAAAGAATGTCATATATGAATTTACTTGTTTAGCTATATAAGGAGAAAGTATTACTTTTCTATATCCATTTCTAGTTAAGACAGCTATTAGAAATGCTTGCCTTTAGATGAATATGCTTGTAAAGAAGCATAAAATGGCCAACACAACTCATTAAATAATACCCCAAGGAAGACTTAGAAGGAACGCCATCAGCAGCTAAAGCCTACGTCTCAGTATAAATTTCATAGCAAAGGATTTTGGGTTTACTATTTAGAATGAAGTTATGGGGGATAATAAACAAAGTAATCATTTTATAACGCTATTGCTCCAAACATGCATTTAGAAAATCTGTGTCATAAACCTCATACCTTTTCTTTCTTGAGTAGATACTCTATAAGAAAGTTTTTGCTACCACTTCTTTGACTTGAAAATCATTTCCTCAGGACATCTTCGCTATATAAGGAAACATAAGAGATATTTAGTTCCATGTATAGGACTTATCAACATGAAACATAACTAACAAAGAGAAGAAGAAAACAACTAGATATTATGCCCTGCTCATAAAGAAAATAGACACCCATTGAAATATTATGGCCCCATGTAATTATAAGAAACTTGGCTCTAATACCAATTTGTCACATCCCAAAAATTTAGAGATGACCAGCACGGAATATGGTGAGAGCTCACATTCCTTAAGCCTTAAAACAACTCATTAACTGCTTAATATAATTATAATATGATTTCTAATATTACAATTAATGTAATAATCTTCACAATGCATCTATCAATTCTAAATCATATATATTTTTTTAAAAAAACATAAGGTTTTACATTAATTTATAAATCTTTCAAACGATGCTTCAACTCTAAGCCAATAGTGTAATAAACTCTGTGATAAGCAGGAGGAACAAGGTCAATTGCACTATCTGAGGCTTAAAAATAATTTATTGGTGAATAACGTCCCATTAATAAGGTAAGAGAAACAAATGTTGAAGGAATAAATTATGCATATTTAATTCAATCAAATAAATAATTTGCCGTTGCTTCCAATTTCTGAGTAAACCATTGAAACATAAGAGAAAATATGTAAAGCAGTTTTGATATGAAAAACTAATTAAACTCATTTATAAAACTAGATCAAGAAATAGCATGAAAACCTTGCTTCAATTGAGGACTGTAACAGAATAAGCAATAAGTGTGGACACACAGTCTATGAGGGCAGGTAACCATCAAGTACGATTGAAACCACGAATACAAGTGTGGGGACAGTGCCCACGAATAACAAGTGTGACTGAAGCCACGAATAACAAGTGCGACTAAAGCCACGAATAACAAGCACGACTGAAGTCACGAATAAAAAGCGTGACTGAAGCCATGAATAACAAGCGCGACTGAAGTCATGAATAACACGCGAGCTCGAGCTTAATCCTAGCATGCTAAGGGCTAACAGTACTACTGTTGGCAACCAGCGTTCTGTATCTAGCCCTCTCAAAAACATTTCCAAGCATGCATGGGATCAGTTTACCATTAACAAATAAAAAGGATCTTTTTCTAGTGATAAAATCTCAAAAGCAATGCCTTGTAAAAAAGACCCCAGCATGTAAGTTTTAAAATAACATATCATAAATGTTTCTTTCAACGTCTAGGTCTGAATGTTCATAAAAACAAAATATTGGAGAGGAAATATTCTCAAGTAAAGTTCTTGTTCCATGCAAGCGATGAATAATATCTTCCAAGAGTTAAAACATTAAAAATATCCAATAAATAAAAAAGGAAAATGTTGGGATAAAAAAATTATTTGATAACTATTTGGTAAGAAAGCTAATAATTTAATTAAATTGGTAACAAGCAGTAAAAATATCATTTGTGAAAAATATTATGGGATGCTATTCACTCACCTGTTGCGCACCCAAAAGTATAACCTACTCCTACTAAACAGCTTGTGGCTCATATACACTCCTAATCTCTAGAACAAAACCATTATTTTTCTTCTTTATAAACCTATTGCATTCATAACGTTATTCACGTCATCCAGGTCTTAATTTCAATAATAAATAATTCTTACACTGTAACATCTAAACTTTTAAGCCTAGAAGTACTAGAAATAGCTTGAATTGGATAGGCTACTAGAATCCTTTTGAGCAAAAGTCCTAAAGATGAGAAAAGAAGTCAAAGCAGTTTCAGGGACTAAACTACAAAGTAAAAGTTTTCAGGGGCTCAAGTATAATCAAGGCTAGAGGCTCCAGTAAAGTCTCGAAGGTCCAGAGAGACAAAAGAGAGTAGAAACAGGCCAATGGTTAAGATAGAAACCTCAAAGAGAGGATTGTATGAAGTTAAGTCTAAGCAGGGACTAAAGCGTAAATTCTGAAAGTTATGACTATCAGGGTTAAAAATGGAAGAGTATATAAAGAATTCCAAGAAAATTCTAGAAAATGGGAAATAATATTCTAAAGCTCTTCTATGAAGAGAAAAGATGAAAATACCCCTGAGGCAGCTTAAATAGAATTTATGAGGTTATGACCGGTAAAAAGTATACCGTTTGAGGTAATTATTTGAAATAGCAAGAGACCTCAAAAATATACAAAAAAATGAGATTAAATGGTTGAAAGGTTGTACTAATTTAGAAAATTAGTCCCGTAACCAAAAGGCCAGTGGAATGGCTTTAATAAATATAAAGCCGGTTATGCCGTTAAAAAGGGTATTTTAGTAAATGATTTTTATGCAGGGCTTAAAGGAAGTGTTATGACCTAAAAAAATTTATAGATATTCTTTAGAATTGAAGAGAATTTATGGAGTAGATAGAAGAATTTTCTAAGCTCCGGAAGGCCATAAAGAAATTCAGAAAAATGTGGGCCAAGTAAATTCGGAAGAAAGTTAGGAAACAAGCTTGATCCAACGGCTAGGATTTAATCTCCCTTCTCCTCTACCACTTTTATGACACTTGGCATCTTCTAGAAGGATGAGGTAAGCATGATGGAAGAAGGTGATACAATGATGATGTAAAAGTCAACTTGAAGTTCCAAAAGGATGGACTATGGGGACTGCTAGCCCAAGATACTCAACAAAGAAATCCAACAATTATCCAGAGCATGGGGCTAACCTTTTAGGGGTTACTGTTGAGGATTTAATGAACCTTCCTGTACCCAGTAACCCGATGGATCCCACAATTGATATGTATCAGGAACCAGTGGATCCTAGTTTTAACATTTAGTCTCATGGACAGCTTGTTAGCCCAAGTGTACACCCAAGTGACATCCTGAACCTAGTACCAAGCCAGGGATACCCCTGATACCCAGAGTATCTATCCCTGTTCCAACTGAGCCTAAGATCCGTAGTCAGGATCAGCTGAGAGAGAAGTTAGAATTCTTGGGTCGACATATCAGGAAAGATGAGGATGAGCAAGACCCGAACATCTACCTAGAATATCTCCAGGGAGTAAAGGTGTTATATTAGACTCAAGGACTGGGTAACCCTTATCTAGACACCAAGGATTGGATCTTTATGATGACGGACATGCTTCCATATTTATACTTCTGGGTACATGAGTTTTGTCACCTGAATCAGATAGTGGATTTAGGTGTTGAGGATTACATCTAGCACCTTGAAAACTTTGTTAAGATTCACTATTTTTATATGGTTAGATCCTCATAAAACTGACGTATGACTTGTATTGTTACAGCTAACTGTAGTAGGTCAGTCTGGCATGTAAGATGGCTATGTATGTTAAACTATATTGTTGTGACTGATGATTGAATGATGTGTTATGAATGCATTTGTTGCTAAATGAAATCCAAGCATGATGTTTATTTCTTGTTCCTCGGATATGCTATTTGTTTAGTTCGCGTATTAGTTAGAACCGATGAAACGCTTTGCCAGAGAGACCCTTAGGACATGACGTAAAGGTCCCTCCTGATCTGCTACAATTAATTTTGGATCGCTTAGAATAGCAATAGAAGGCTATTGGAGGGTTGAAGGTGGCACAAGCTAGTCAGGAACAAGAAAAAGACGCCGTAATAGTAGCAACGTTAGCAGCGGCAGTGGCTAACCTCGACAGGAGGAAGCCAGAGGAAGAAACCTCAGCAGCGCAAGCAACAGAACAATTACTGAGATCGACAATGCTAGCAGTAAACCCCGACAGCATCCAGCAGTGGATGACTCGCTTTTACAAGCACAATCTACCATCTTTGGATGGAGTGATTGACATCCAAGCAGCAGAGGACTAGATCATAATTTTCAAAGTTCTAGACTGTCTGACTAAGCAGAAAGCCCATATGGCTATCTACCAGCACAAGATTCTTCTGGATGCTCGGAACACGAGAGCGACATGGGAAGTGTTCCTGGAGCAATTCCATGAGAAATATTTTTCAAGGTCATCCAGGGAAGAAAAGGAAGCAGAATTCCTAACCCTGAAGCAAAGGAATAACGAGTCATTTGATAGGTACTTAGCTAAGTCCAGACATCTTTCTCACTACTTCAGTTACCTGTGTTACCGAGATGATGAAAGGTAGATGACCAAAAAGACGATCAGAGGACTAAAGCAGTCCTTAAGGGAGATGATTGCTCCTTGATAGTTTGAGCACTTCAACAAGGCAGTTGAGGCATGTCGAATTATGGAGAACAGCTTGAACCATCATTTGATGATTGAGCCTACTCCCAAGTTAGAGAAGCAAGATTAGGGTGGCACCTCTTCTGATACGACCGGGAAGAGGAAGAGGCTATAGGACAAGCGAAAGAGCAAGAAGGGAGGTAAGCCCTCAAATGGCAAAGAATGCCTAACCTGTGGTAAGAATCATGGTAACAGACCATATATGGCCAGACAGAATGTCTGCTATACTTGCAGTAAACTTGGACACTTCTTATAAGAATGTCCACAGAGTACAGAAAAGGCAAGGCTGTGCACCTAAGGATGAGTATTTGCCATCACAGGGAAAGAAACTTGGAAGTCTTCGGAAATGATCTAAGGCATTATCATTATTAATAACCACCCCATGATTGCAATGTTTGATTCAGGTACTAGTTATTTTCTTGTCTTGTAAATTGTTTTAGAAGACTCAGCTTGGTTATGAGCACTATTATATTGCCTTAGACTTTATAAGTATGCCTTCCATGAAGTTGATGGGGTAATTGGATTGCATTGGTTGTCTTCCCATAACGGCAAGGACAAAACCCTGATCCTACCCCCAAGAGAAATGGAGTTAAATCCAGAAGTTAAGTTAAACTTCGTAACGGATGCCTAGACAGGCAATGGTACGATAAATGAAGCTACCTAAGACTAGCAAAGGTTAAGAGAAAAGTGTGTTTTGTCATGATAAGCCAAGGGAATTAGTGGCGATGGACAAATACAGAGTGATTACCAAAGGAGGTGGTAACTTCTATCACTATAAACAAGGATTCTAGTCACGAAGAACGAATACAATAACTCTCAGATGTTGAGGTGGTATCTTAGTGAGACACAATGATTTTTAGAGGTCACAGAGAGTAAGATAAGTAGAAGTCAGAAAGAAGGTCAAACAAGACAGTTAGGGGTTGAGTCTTTACACTATTAAGAAGGTGTAAGTGGCAACCTAAGCTAGACAAACTCTTACAACCTCGTTAGGGCTAGGGCACCATGATAGCGTATCTATCTCAAGTCCTGGAATAGATGAATAGAAACTCTGAGATAGTGAAGTAAGATGGAGAGCCCTAGTGAAATGTCTTAAGGATCAAGAAGAAGAGGACGAGATAGATAGCTATGCAGGGAACAAGCTTAGAGGTTGGCATGTTTCCTTTAATGTTAAGAGATTTTCAGTTGCTTGGGGTTTAGGTTGAGGGGCACCCTTTTTAAGGGATAAGGTCTTGGCTAGGAGTTTTCCTAGAGAGGGCGAGAATTGGTCCTCTAGATTAAAATTTACATTGCTCAGGATGGAGTAAGGTACCCTATCCGAGCAGGAAAAGGAAGCAGTCAAGGCAAGGTAAGCAGAGTCGACCTTACCCAACGGAAGTATGACTAGCCAAGAACGAAGCTAGGCTTAGATGTATCTGAGCTTAGCAGAGTACTAGAGCAAGTAGAAAGAGGAAGAAAAGTAGAGCAAAGATCTTTTTACAGAATTTTGAACCACTCCATTTCGATTTTTCTAGATTAAGTTATGAATTTTTGAAGTTGGGCCAGAAAACTGGGTTTTTACCCGGTGAACAGTAAAAATATGAAAATCAGCGTTTTTCATAAATTTTTGAGCCCAAAACCATCCAATGTGGTCTAAAATAGTTTTAATTAAACCCTCAGTGGATTCGATAGTAAGTTGTGACACAAGAGAATTAAGAGGTAGTATAGAACTTACAATTTGATGTTAACTTGCTTGGTTTGTTGCTATGTGTAATTCTTTGTTT